GAAGTTATTAAACCATATGAACACTTCCGGTACCTCTCGCGACTGTCTTTTGAATCTCATTTTATCAAATTTGAATGAATGAATTATCTCGGTGTCATTGTTTTTACAAACACTTCCTAGACTTATCAGGCATTGCACTTATTGAAACTTCTTGCAAATTTACGTAATCATGTACTTATGAATGAAAACAATATATAATTTAAAAGAAAAGTGTCACACTTGAATTGCCCGCGATTTTTTCCAATTTTATGCTCTAATTGGAAGAGATTGTCTAATTGTCAAAGATGCTGTTTCAATTGTGTAAACCAGAAATTAATTAGCACCACGGTGGTCGATTAAACGGAATTAGGACTCCAATATTTGCATATCGGTTAAGACATCATCAAGTGAAAATAATTAGGATTTTGAAACAAGTCGTTGCCCAACACGGGTAAATTATTGGAATTCTCAACAGTCGTGAAATTTGTGCAAAAACTAGTTTTTGTCAGTCGAATTTTTGACAAAAAATTACCATCAAGGGGGAGTGTCAACAGTTCCAGTGTTTTATACAATTTTTTTTCGTCCACAAAGCTGTCAATTGTATTGTCACAAACCTGTTGACAGGTGACAAAACTGTCAGACTTCCTCGCCGTTAATTCACCCACAATTTCAGCACCTGTAAGACACAACGACAACTATTATTTTGAGTTAAAAAAAATGTTTTAAGCTCTAGACTTGTTCTAGAAATTCAGTCAAGTCAAGTTAGTGTCATTTGTCAAAGGTAAACATAACCTAGAATTATTGTCAATTATTGTTAACAATGAGAGAAAGTCGCGGATTCCCCCACGAAAACGTCCGCATTGTTCTTGTAGATTCTTCTGGTAAACCTAGCGTGGAATAATAAAAATGTCGATGATTATTTTTTGATGCGTTTTTTGCAGATGGGAACATTGATGTGTCCAAATTAACGGTTCTCGAGTAGTAATCGCAGCGAAAAGTGTAATTTTTTCGGTTGTAAACGAAATAAAATCGTATTATTTAGCATCCGAAGAGACAAGTGGAATCTGAACTATGACACTGGTCAATTAAGCATGTAAATGATAAGGAATGTTGTGATTGCGCAGGTAGTTCCGTGCTACTTGTGTCTGTAAGTGTTTGCAAGGGGGCTGCGTCGCCCCCTGGCTTACATAAGGGCGTTCGGGGCACGAACCCGACGAAGGGCGAGTATCGCACGGCACAGACACGACTGCCACAAGATGTCTCTCGACATTAAGTTCATTGATACTTGGGCCTCGAGGCGAATTCGGGACAAAGCAAAATCCTACCTCTGAGACACTGTCCTCTTCGCTTTCCGACGAATCGGACATATATCGGCGATGTTCTGAATACGTTTCCGTCTCGGACTTTGCGGGACTCGAGTTGGAAGTTGAATGGGGAGTCGACGGTATTTCGTGCTGGACGTTCACTTTATCTATTTTCGGATTATCTGGCGACGATTCTTGTGTGACATTCTGCATGTTTGCCTTTCATTCAAACGAAACACAACGAAACTGCTGCGATTATTTTACTAGATTCACTACACGCACTTCAAAAAGTACATTCGTTACATCAAAATGTTCACGGTCGCCATTTTCTACTATGGCCGCTATAGCGAGACGAAAACCGAAGACACGACGGCTACGACCGAAACTCGAAGTGACATCTGTGCGAAAATATGCAAAAAGGAGGAAAATTTCCTCTGACACACTTTTATTCCAAATACTTACACAGATTCCTGTAATGTCGGCATCGTTCATTTCGCTACTCATCCACAGAGGCTAGCAAAAAATTTAAATTTTCAATACATGAGAATTACTTTGAAAATTAATTAGTTTGCAACCAAAAAAAAAATACATATGTAACTGGATATAATATTTTATTTAAATTAATTCAGTAATCAATGTGAGCTGGATGAAAATGAGTGAAGTCGTCAAAATGACAAGTAATTGTCTACTGCTTCAAGGACACTAATTTCATTTTCTGGTCCAGTAGCAGTCTTCTGACGGGGTTTTTTATTGGGGCCAATCCTGTCGTAACTTGGTTTAACGTTTTCGAAATGTTCAGGACCAGATGCATTCGATTTGGATAGCTCTCCAGATACAGAGCTGCTGCCGCAGGAGCATTTTTCTTACATTCTCTATGGATTAAGAGCATGTCTACTTTTTCGTTATTTGTGTAATAATACATTGTATTAACGAAAATTTACTGTTACTTTTTAAATGTCAAATTGAAAAATATGCAAAGTATTCTTGGATTCAATTTTATAATTTTTTAAAATGAGGAAGCTAGACGCCTATGTGAATTGTATAATGGGTTGCTGCCCAAATTATTTCAGAAGTAACTCTCCTGTGACTAACCCTGTATTTTCTGTTTCAACATTATCAAAAGGTTGATTTTTAAGTTTTTAGCCATTTCAAACATTATTTTTTTACCTTTTAAAAATTTTTCAGATAATTTTAGTCTCATTTGTTTGACCACTTGATTCACACAATATTTTTTTGGATCTGAATTTTTGAACGCTACATTGGCGGACACGGAATTTTGGACTTTCGGTTTTTGTAATTATTATCATGATAAGTAGAGAAAAAAATGACAAAAATTCAAAATAATTTATTAAAGAACCTGATTTCTAGGTAAAAATAGATTTTCCATAGACCAATCAAGAAACAAAAAACACAATCTAGCACGTTTTAGAAACTTTTAATAGGTATCATGAAAATAATGAAAATTTCTTTAACCATCAAATTTCATTTTGTTTATTGGTAAAGTTTTTGTCAAACACATGTAATAAATGCACAGTCGGTAGACAAAAAACTGAGACATGAAAAATTTGCTCATTGTGAATCAAACTTTTGAATTGCCACGACTGTCAGTTTAACCCTTTTGTCAAATTAAAAAAAGTCTAATTTTTCAGACGTGCAAAAGCAAACAAGCCTTCGAGATGGAGTACCTGAACTTTAACTCGCTATTTTTGTTAATATGTCATTAAAAGTTTAGAACAAAGCGGTTTCTTTAATCATTTGCCTTTAGAAAATAATAATTAATAAACATTAGGAGCTATAAAAAAGTGAACGTATTTTGAAAATAAAATTTTGTTTTATTTTTAAATTTCATGTTTTTTTTTCAAAATTGAAAATTGAATAAAATGTAGATTGTCGTAATCCTTAGAACAAATCCTTTACCATTTGGGTTACCATTTGCACAAATTAAAAATTTTGCAAAACTCAAAAACAAAAAAAATTTCAAAAAATTTTATTCTTGAGAAAATCCACATTGTATAGTACTTTATCATACATTAATTATTAATTTTTCAAAAAATAAATAGTTTACGCAAAAATCGTTTCGTTCCATACTTTTTGTTCACCTGGTTAAGTAGGTATAACATTCTATAATTTTAGAAAGCTAAAAATTACTGAATATGCAAAATACTCCTAATTGGACCGAAATTCCGCGAATCAGTAAAACCAGTAATTAAAGGTTTATTTATCTTAAAAGTTAAGTTCTGAGGTTAAATCTTAACCCTCAGTAATGAAATACTTTAGCAATAACCAGAATAAACCAAATTCCCTAAATTACAGTTCATTTCATCATCCATTAATAATAAAAAGATTACGCCACAACAGAGGGCAATTTGAAACGAAAAACTGATAATTTTTTATTACAAAAAAAATATTTCCTTATTGCTAAAAAGCGGCCATCAAAGCCAAAACATTACGTCGAAAAATGTGTTCTTTCTCCGTTATTTTCACATATGCATTGTTTACCCATTTTAGTAATTGCGAAATTAAAAATCGTAAGGATAAACGTTGTTTCTGGGCGACTACATCAGCGATAAATCATATTGACGAACTGAATCAAACGCAGAGTAAGAAAATTTTCCGTGATGATTACTTAGTAACAGCATATTGCCTCATTATTATCACCAAATTTCTTTATTCTAGTTCAACAGTTCTGCAATATGTTTATTCAAATTAATCGGAGCAATTCCATCGTTTGATTAACTTTTCCAGAGATAATCTAAACACACAGCCTAAAATTCTTCAAATATAGTAAACGACTTATCTATCATGTGATTCATGTTGCTGACCCTTACACGCAGTTAAAAATAATTCGAGTAAAATGAAAAAGCCCCATTATCGCAAATATTACATCATTCATTTAGATCTCGTATCGCCACCAAGGCCGGAATCAAAAAATAGACAAAATAAAAGAACAATTTCAAAATGAATATAGTGAAAAATGAAGCATAAATGTAATAAAAGAAAAAAAATAGTAAATAAATTTTCTTTCATTTAACAATGGCTTCAAATTTTAATTTCAGAGTTATTTTGCTGCGTATCAAAAATTGATTTATGTTCAATTTTTGTGTCTTGACTGCGGCGGAATTTATGCAACTTGTATTAAATTCTCATAGAAAAACCATTTTTTATTTCGTTATCTGGTGTTTCTTTATGAATTTAAAATTTTATGTTAAGTGAACTTAGGTACATACATACATAAATCACAACACATCAATATTTTGTCTTTATTTCAGTAATATTAGAATGAAATTATAATAAATAATAGATAATATTTTTTAACACCTAAAAAGAAGAAAAAATCTCCATTTCATCTTTTTTTATTTCATCTTGCGTTGCTAATTGTCTTTTTGCCATACTTCTAATTAAAAAAGAAAAAAAACAGGACAGATAATTTTAACGATTTATTTTACCCTCCACAAACCTTAAATGTTCTATTTTTATAAAAAAATAATCACTCACAAACACTAAAAGCCACTTATTTATCAAACCAAATCGGAAAAATCGATAACGTAACTCGTCTTCCCACTGCTCATTATTTCATAAACAACATTTTTTAATCAACGTATTTGTCATATGACGTTTTATCACTTAATTTAGCGTAATTGTAATTTCTCAACTAGTATTGTTTTAATCAAAAATCTTACGATCCTCGTTGCCCCACCACCCAAGCCGATATAAACATGTGTAGTATATAAAGAGTCACCAGTTTGAAAGTGCACAGTACAGCAATCAGTTGATAAAGTTCTAGTGCAAGTGTAATTATGGGAAGTAGCCATTCAGCCTTAAATTTCGGAGCCGGCCCTGCCAAACTCCCCCGAGAGGTAATTACAAAAATTGTTGTTGACCCGATCAAAACATTGCTTTTCTCGCAAAAACAGGTGTTAGCCCAGGTCCAATCCGAGCTCCTTTCCTACCAAGACAGCGGGATGAGTCTCATGGAAATGAGCCATCGTGGCAAAGAGTACACGAAAATTAACAACGATGCACAAAAAGCAATCCGCGAGTTATTGTAAGTGACCCAAAACCGGAATTTCGCAGGAATTAAATTTTTTGCAGGAATGTTCCAGACAACTACAAGATTCTCTTCATGCAAGGGGGCGGGACCGGGGCCTTCGCCGCCGTGGCCTTGAATCTGATGAACCGCACCGGCGTTGCCGATTACGCCGTGACGGGAACTTGGTCCTCGAAGGCCGCCAAAGAGGCCGCGAAGTACGGCAAAGTGAATTTAGTGTTTCCTAAAGCCGACAAGCCTGGAAGTATTCCGCCGGAGTCGAGCTGGACATTGAACCCTGACGCTTCTTATGTCTACTATTGTGATAATGAGACTGTTGATGGTCAGTTGAAAGTTCCGAGAAGAATTCGCCCCTAATGGTTTTTTTTCAGGAGTCGAGTTTCCCTTCATCCCGACCTCACCTCACGGCGTGCCAATTGTCAGCGACATGTCTTCCAGTATTATGACAAAAAAAATCGACATTTCCAAGTTCGGGTGTATCATCGCGGGGGCGCAGAAGAACATCGGCCCTGCGGGCGTCACTGTTGTGATCATCCGGGAAGACCTCCTCGGCAACCCCATGAAAATCTGCCCTTCAGTATTCGATTTCACAAACATTAGTCAGCAGAATTCCGTTCATAACACACCTGCTACCTTCTCGTATGTCATTGTTTTGTTAATTAAGAGTGAGTTTAAATCGATCGTTTGCAGAGTTTACGTAATGGAGAAAGTCCTGCAATGGATCAAGAAAAATGGCGGCCTTCAAGCTATGGAAAATCAATCGCAAGACAAGAGTAAACTTCTCTACGAAGAAATGGCCAACTCGAACAGTTTCTACAGTTGTCCCATTGACGAAAACTGCAGAAGTAGGATTAATGTGCCCTTCAGGGTTGGGGGCCCTCAAGGCAACGAGGAATTAGAAGCGAAATTTTTAGAAGAAGCCGAAAAACTTAAAATGTTCCAATTGAAAGGTCACAGATTAGTTGGTGGAATTCGAGCGTCGTTATACAACGCTGTGACGCGTGATGAAGTTGCGCTTTTAGTTAAATTTATGAAAGAATTTAGAACGCAGTTCGGTTAAATTAATGTCTATTCAAATTCCAATGTATTTATTGTATTGTATTAAGTATTTTTAGGAATAAATATTTTTTCAAGTTACAATGACTCTCATTTCAAATGTTAACCACGCCCGTTTTGATAAAACTCATTAAGAAATAATCGGAAAAAACACTTGAATTTCCTCAACGGGTCAAGTAAACAAGATCTGATCGATTTGAGTATCAAACTTAGATCAATAATTATCACACAATAAAACAAAGGTCAAGAAAAAACAAAACTGGATTTAAAAAATCGCAATTATCGAACGTATGCAACGTGATTCAGCAAATGTCGCGTTTGAATATTTTAATTCGAAATTAGTACAAAAACAATAATAACCCGCAATTTCGTTTTTTTTTTAATTTTATTTTAGTATAATTCCGTTATATTTGTTTCAGTTGCTACGGGGTATAATTTCATCATCTGAAAGATTATTCTAAAGCTACTTGTTATTCGTGCACACATTGTGAAATGAATATTTATTGTCTTTTCTCTGCAAAAAATATTAAAACTGGTTTTGTCCTCTTTCCCTATTTATCAAATTGTGTAAATGTTTATTACAAATTTTTATGTCAAAGGCCTTTTTTAAATAAACAATGTTACAGTTATAATGTTGTCTTTATTTTCCCAAAAACTACATTTTAATAGCTAACCAGTTTGCTAATGAGAGTGATTAGTATTAGACTACCACTGTAACAAAAAATTGTTTATTTGTTTTTGTAGTTTTTTTTTCCTTAAAATAAACAAATGTATAATAAAATTCTAACAACATAGGTATCAAATTGTTATTTCTTTTTTACTTCTTACACATTTTTTATCTTTATTCCAATAAAACACACCGTTTGAGATTAACTGGTTGAATTTTATACTAGTGTCTCCGCGGATACGTGAAATGACTCTTGTAAAATATAAAAAAATCTTAATTTAAACCTTCATTTTTTGGGGTTTTAGTTTTGAAAATTCAAGTATGTATACAGGATTTTAAAAAACTTATTTTCTTTTAGAGTATAGTGCCTTTTATGTGGCAAATACGACAAAAAGTTCTTAAGAAAAGTTGTTTGAATGCCTCTATACCAAATTTCAAAATCATCCGCCAACTATGTATAATTTTTAATTTTTTTATGTTTATTTCACAAATCAAAGAATTTTATTTTTAACAGTCCGTTCATTATGAATAAAAAATATTCACACTTAAATTATTACTACTAGATAAGTTTCTAGTAACAGATACGTCCCAAAAATAGCTATTTTACGGACTCATTTAAGTCCCTAAAATGAGTCTTTTTCAGACTAGATAATAAAATTGTTATTCTAGATACAAGTACCTAAAAACAGTTTTTGAAGACGAAAAACACAATGTAGTTGGAAGCAAAATGATAATTAACTATGTAATTAAAATAAGTCACTATGTCCGAAAAATATTCGTTCTCAAAAACTGCATTTTAGTTTCTCGAAACAAAAATAACTACTATTAAAAAAAAATGTATGTCAGGTAGATTTTTAGTTCTTTATAATGAACTATGTTTTTGAAATAAATATTTGTTAAAGAAGCTTTTATTCTTCGACACTGTCAAAATTTACGGTTTTTCTCCCGTGTAAGGAAGTTTTGACAACTGTTTAGTATTTCTCAATACGAAACGTCAGATTATTTTTAACAGATTTAAGCCTTGTTGAGTGTAATTCTTCTATTCGTCTATTCAACTCGTTTGAGTGTAAATCAGACGCTTTATTCCACCTCGTGGATGATACATCACTCGTTACACTCGTGGTTTAAAATTCCACTCGGTGAAATAATGCGTCCGATTTACACTCAAACTCGTAGAATAAATAACTATATAATTTATAGCAACATAAACCAAATGGTAGGTTTCAATTTTGATTTAAAAAATCCAATTAAAATAAAAACTCATTTGGTAAAAGCGACAAAAATAAATTTAATAATTTCTTAAAAAAATCGCATTAATTAATGCAGTGCAAAATATTTGTCTTCGAAAACAAGATTTTCAACATCTCCATTAAATTCTACGATAATTTTCAACTTGATGCGAACAAAAACAACAAAAATAGCCTCAAGTGCTTAAAAAATAAAGTCGAAATGATCCACTCAATAAATCAATAGATCTAATCGACGGTCACTCTATGGGAGAAAAAAATAGTTTTATAAAGTTCAATCTTTATTGTCACAATTAAAAGAGTCAATTAATAGTGCAAAATATTTGTTCACTGTTAAAAACCTTTCTAAAATAATCTCTGACGAACACTATTCAATTCAAAAAAACTGGTCAGTTCTTTACAAATTCCTCATTTAGTACTTATTTCATTTTTAATGAACAATATATTGATTTAATTCAAATACAGAATCACTTAACTACAACCGAAAATTATGTGTAGTTGGACTCGGCATCAACTGTTTCAGAATCTTTGGCATGTGTTGCAACTTTTCCCTTATCGGACGTGGAATATTATCATTATCATTATACGTAACGGTGTTACCGTCCGAATACTGATACTTGATTTGATGTTTACCGTCCATGGACAACTGGGATCCGTCACCATACCTTACTTGCACTTCTCCATTGGGCAATTGCACCGCCGTGCCCACCCCTGGCACTGACACTCTCTTCTCCTTTGACACAGAACTACTCTGGAATGACCCTACAGCCGTACTGTTCATGGAAACAGCAAACGAGGGCTACAAAAAACAAAAAGCAATCGCACCACCGCCCTATTTACCAAATTACCATCATGGTTGTTTGGGTTTGATTCTCCTTTCCAGGCCCCAAAGCCGGCCTCCTGCCTATTATAGCTGGAAAATTGGGACCGGCCAACTTTGATAACATCTCCTCCAAAACGAGACAATGTTTCAAAGCCTCCTGCGATTGGGACCACATATACTCGAAAGTTCCGGTTAAATTGCGACATTCGTTGTTGGTTTTAACCAAAAGTTTATTACCGGACGAATCCTGAAACGTAATCCCTTTCAAAGAAGATTTCGTCACGGTCCCACCTTCATAAAAAGTGGCCTCAAAATCGGTCAAATTCTCCATAAGAACACACTTCATTTTATCATTGTAACAAGTGACTTTCGGGGTTTTTTCTTTAATAAGGGCCACAAATTGGTATGCGTGCATGTACTTTTTCCAGTGCTTTTCCGGTAAATTTTCGATAGTGTATGCATCGTAACCCCCTTGTGGAGGTATAGGGGGCGGTGCCACTCCTGGAGCCACTCCCTTACCCCCATTAGGTTCATAAATAATTATTTTAGCCCCATCTGATGATATTCTCAAAACATCACACACGACGTTACGTTTCGCACTTCCTTTTTTCTTCATCAGTTCCACGACGACTTCGCCATCTTCCATTATGTGTAAAATTGAATTTTCGGTCCGGTGTGTTTTCGGAAGTAATCTTTGAGAACACAATTGTAACAGTCGTTGCGTTTTGTTTTTGTCACTTTTTTTGTTACTTTCGCTCGAACTGGTACTGGTTGTAGAAAAAATCGGTTTGTGATTCGAGCTGTCTTTGAGGATTCGATTCCCCCCCGGGTCGGCAGGATACGCGTTGTTTTGAGGCAATTCACAACTGCAATGACTCCGAATTTCGGAGAAAAATTGAGGATCTGAGTAGTTTGTCCTCAAATTAATATCATGAAATTTCCTCGAAAGCTGCTCCATATTTTGAGAGTTACTTTTAAAATTGTTAGGCACATAAATATTATTAATAGCACCGTCGCTGAAGGCGCTATCACGTCGGCTAGACATTGTGTGAATCCCACTATCATGAGTCAAATGTGACGTCAACAACTAAAATACAACATTATTTTTGTTTACTTTTTTAAAAAAATCTCACCTGTCCTCTTTTTATAAAAGGGTGCTCCAAAATCTGGTCCAACTTGATGCGATCTTTGGGATTTTTCTGGAGAAGTGAATTAATTAAATCTTTAGCTTCGAGTGACAAATGACTGGGCAAATGATAATTGGCCGAAACAATGCGATTTAAAGTATTTTTAACACCATGAGTGTCAAACGGGGGAGACCCCACTAATAAATTGTAGAGAAGACATCCAAGACCCCAAACGTCGGCTTCAAGACCGTGAGAACTCCGCGAAAGAACTTCAGGTGAGATAAAATTTGGGGTCCCACACATTGTCATGTGTTTTTCATCAGGACGTGATAATTGAGTGGCCAACCCAAAATCTGCAATTTTCTGAAAACCATTGTTTTTTATTGCTTTTTGTTGTTTTTCTGCCACTTACCACTTGCATGTCTTTTGTAAGTAATAAATTTGATAAAGAAATGTCCCTATGGAGAATATTGTGGGTGTGAAGGTATTTCATGCCTTCTACTACTTGTTTCATAATACTGCTAACTTCACTCTCAGTTAATGCCTTAAAATAAAAAAAAATAATAGTTTTCGTGACTCTGCCTTATTTGTAAGTAAATCCACCTTAGTTTTTATATACTGTCTCAGCTCCCCATTGTGACACAACTCCAAAACAAGATAAACATAATTAGCATCTTCAAAAAACGTATACAACTCCAAAATAGATGGATGTTTAAGTCGATAATGAATTGATACTTCCTGTTCGACCCGTTTTACCATCCCAGCTGCTTGCATCATTTTTTTATCAATCTAAAACCCAAAATTACAACATCAAGCCCCAAATCAAGTTAGACCAATTAACCATTTTTATAGCGACATTTAATCCTGTTTTTAAACATTTTGCGTGATACACAGAGGCAAAACCTCCTTTTCCCAACAGATTGTAAACTTCGTAGTCCTAAAAGTAATTATTTAAAACGAAAATTCGCTTTTTTAAGACGTAAACAAAGAATTATAACCTCAATTCGTTCACCCATTTCGAGATTCATTTGAGTTTGAAGGTGAAACCACGTCAGGGAAACATTTAAAATAACCTCTTATGGGACACAGAGGGGAATTCGAGCTTTGTTAATTCATGTTTGAGTCAAAATTGATGAATTTCAGTGGAAAAGCATTGGGAAATAACTGAAAACAAAACAAGTTTTTTTCAAAAATTGATAGATGACAATGGACGCCAACATAAAAAAAGTGGGAGATTTAAAAAGTGTTTGTCTTTATTGGTTGTAAAAATAATACTACAATGGTTTAAGGTTTTAGTTTTTATTGATAAAAAACAAAATGGTTAAATTAAATCAGTCTTTTATAATTAAAATTCTGTACCAGTTAAGTGATTAAATTAGCATCATTGCGTGATTCTTGTACAAGCCCCCATGTGCTTCATGCTGACCTCTGAAAAAAAAAAACAATAAAATAATAAAAATTTCAACTGTAACCCGAAATGACTACAAGTTTGCGCCATTAAATAGATAATTTAAAGCACTTTATTTGAATGTTTCTTTCTGAGAAAAACGCATTTAAAGTTCCTTAATTTTTGACAATTTTTACTTTTTAAACTCCGAGTAGGTATAGAGTTAGTATTAGAGCTTTCGCAAAAAGTCCAACACCATCGTAATCAGAGTAAAAAAATCTATCGAATGGCACCAATTTCACGTCGGTATCTCCCAACAAAATTTTCAATTTTTAAAAGCTGATTATTTTACGACAAAACTAGATGAGCTAGAGATAAAAGCGCGACAGATTCGTAATCAGCACGTTAAAATCTATCGGATAAGATAGGTTTAAACCAAATCGGGGACAAAAATCAAAATAATTACCAAATTTAAAATTGAACGATGTACCTAACATTTTTTACATTTTTAGATGTCCTAGAAACTCGAAAAAATGCATAAAACGTTATTAAATCAAGCTTGAAAAATTACGATTTTCTTGAGTTTTTGAGAAGGAGCGCAAATTATTATTTATATACTTTATAAAAAAAGGTTTCTGTATATTTGCCTTTTCTTATTTAATACCAATTTATACTTCTTGGAGTATAATATAAAATTATAATAATTGCAATTTTTTAATATAATATTTTAATTGACAGATCAAAATTACATCACATTTTTACAATTTGTGTGAATTTAAATTTTTATGGATCAATCAAAAACTCAAGTTTTGTTTCTCAAGTTCGTCTACAACCCCAAATTAATTGATCATACGATACAGAAATGTTAAAAAAATTGATTACTTTTTTGATGTCACAAAAATTGATTGTTTTATTAGATTAGGTTTTGCATTTGATTTTATTGCAAAAATTTTCCCATCAGGTGCTCACTTAGAATACGTGCAGGTCATACCGGATCTAGTGACGCAGTTTTATGTCTCCTGTACTAGCAATTTTATCGATGAAATAAATAGGTAAACATTGTGCCACACGAATGGAAAGCAGAATTTTCCTAATTAGCATTCATAAATTGTTAAAACCTTGAAAGAAATCATTTTCTAAAAATACAACCGATAAAAACACAAATAAAATTTCGGATTTTCCACCAGGCGTACATACAAATATTAGCTCACCACTTCGTCTAGACAGTAAGAGAAAAACAAATACTCACTTTTGCCACATCTTCGGGCGCAATTAAGCCGATGCATACTGAAATAAGTCATGTTGTCGTCACCACACACAGGGTTGTACTCAGGAGTGGACAAACAGCGGTCTTCGCAAGGAGTCCGGGGAGTCCCCATGCCAGGAATTGCAATAGTCGACGAAGGGGTCCTTTGTGTAGTTCTTCGGAAAGCTTGGAACGTTGGTCTTGGCGTAGTCACGAAATTTCGATTTTCGAAATCATCTTCAAAGATAAACGAGTCCTGGTTTTCGACCCGCCTTGGGTTCCAATTAAACGTGTTTGAAATTGGTCGATTATTAAAATTATTATCGTAATCTGGTGGCTCGTCCCAGTCAAAGCCCCCACGTTGCCGACTGGACCTCCGAGAAACATCAAAATTGTGGAAGTTGATATATCTTGAGTCTTGAGGAAGCTCATAACGGTAGGCAAAAGTTGCTTGCAAAAATGCAAAAAACACGACTAAGGTGGATCTCAAAAATTGTAAGTTTTAAGTTGAGTACTTACAGAAGCAAGACCTCATTTTGTGATTCTTAACTCACTAGGTACAAATCGGTTTAGCACGAACGCTTGTTTATAACAAAAGCAAAAGAGTGTCTAACAGGTTTACGATTTATTATATCTTGTCTCTCACACTGCAAGATGATGACTAAGATAACGAATGTGAGGAGCTTCTTTTTGATATTACCTTGACTTCGTGCGAATTGTTAAAAAGAAACAGACAATTTGTTGTAATTATTTGTAATCATAGTTTAGCATAAATAGTCGGATTATTCACTCATTCGAAGAATTTGATTAAAGAGAAGTAATTGTGTTGAAACATTTCATTGAACCGTAACAGGTGAATAATTCTGTTAAAAGCCGTCATTTAGATTTTTGAAACTGGAGATTGGGGACAAAAACTTAAACATATTTCAGTTACAAAAAAAAAATAATTTATTAATAAGCCTTGAAACGAACACATAAAAGACTTAAAGCGGCTGGCAGGTGCCCCCAAAAGCCCGTTGCACACCTACAAACCCCAAATCATCAAAAAATCCCCAATTATGTAACAAAAACTTACTCAGCCCACACCGATTGGCACAACTGAGGTGACTCTCATTTGGATAAGTCACCCCATTGTTTCCACAAATGGGGTTATACTGCGGCGTCGTGGGGCACTGTCTTATGCAGGCACTATACGCCGGCGAGGGCGTCGTCGTCGTAGTGCCGCCCCCAGCTTGCGTTGTCCTAGTCGTCGGTCTTGGTCTTGGTGCTTGAGTCGTCGGTCTTGGTCTTGGTGCTTGAGTCGTGGGTCTTGGTCTTGGCCTCAAATCATTATCATCGACATCGCCCCACGAAAACCCCTGTCTTCGCACCCTCGACGGGGATGCCGACGAGTGCAAGATTAAAACCGCTACGAAATCGGGCCTTGTATTAGAAAAAAACAAATCAAAAACTTACCCAAAACGAAGAAAGCTAATTTCACAAACATTGTGATAAAACAGTGACCCAACACTGAACGACGAACTTTGCAAGTATGCTGGCTTGACTGGTATCGTCTTTTATTTGTAACTTTGATCTGGGATTACCATTGACTGTCTAAATACAGTTTTCGCTTTTCTTTGAAGAGTTTAAGAAATCAATATTTGATAAGAGAGATATAAAAACAAACGTATTTTGGAGTGTGTGTGTTGATTTGAACTCGCGATTTAATGTGTGTTTATTGTAACATTTAGTGCAATCACTTGCATAATAAAGTAGCAAATTTGTGTCTAATATCATAAAAAACAAAATTTATTAATCATGTGTATTGTTAGTTGCCTATAATGCTAGTTTTTTTGCTAAAAAATGATTTTTTGTGGTCATTAACCGCCTGCAGTGTTTATTTTTTATGTTTAAACTGTGGGAAAACTACTACTTTTTTCCATATGTCCTCACCTGACTAGTCAATACCATAAAAATGCGGTTATTTTTTGTGAGGGGATTACCCGTTAGTGATTTACTATAACTGTTATTTGGCAATGTCAGGGTCTCCCAGGCCATTCATTTGAGAGTGAGGGACAGGTTGTTGTGTTGTGGGTTTTTACTATTACTAATTTACATTTTTGTTGAAAAAAGCAGTTTTCTGGTTTAGGTATGTTTTATTGTAAATTGAGTTGCATAACAATCAGGTGCAATGTAACAGTTTTTATTTTACCAATTTGAAACTCCATCAAAAATAAATTAAACAAATTCAATTCATAATAGTTGCTATTTTCTATAAAAAATCTACACTAGAGTAAAATCGTATACTATAATTTTCAACAACAATACTGAAATAATAATCCTAAATTTAAATACGTAAATGAGATGGTAGCATGTCGTCAACATTCCCCTGGTTTCACTTCAGCAAAATCTGGAAAAAATTGTTTGAAACATGTCAGTGGACTTGGAAAGACTTACAAGTGCCGTATTGGCAGTAGGCCAGTTCCGCCATACATCGATTTTCGAAGGTTCGGGGGAGTCCCGAGTCGTCAATGCCACACACAGGTCCGGAATCCATGTCGCACCCTTGCCCCAAACAAGCCGGCATAAGGGCATTGTGGGGAGGGGCGGCGTCGACTAGTATTAACCCTTGAAAAAAAAAAATGATTTGAGTGACAAGTGTTGAGATAAAATTTTATAATCGAATTCTTCAGTTATTTATTGCTTCCTCCGCGCTGACAGTGCGGAGATAAGTCGAAATGGAAAATTTAAAAAATTTCAGATAAAACTATCCGTGATAAAATTCAGGTTTGAGAAGAAATAGTGCTAATAAGTAAGCGAGATAAATAAAGAAAATGGTACATACCCAAGACAAAATAGAATGCGTAGTGTTTATGCTTCATATCCAGATATGAAGACGCACTAAAATCGGTTATTTATTTAAAATATTTCCGGAGGTGTTGTCACGTGGCTTCTGAGGACGAAATTATAAAACAAATCAATTTAACCGAATGCTTTGCTCTTCAGAACAAATCATTGACGTAATAATGAGAATCAGATCAAGGATGGTCTTAATCAAAATGGTTAAGCATGACTGTCAAGACTATTAAATATGTACCAATAATTATTCATTCTGATAAACTGATATATTTGACGACTTCCAACTTATTTTTAGAATATGACTTGATGTTTGTTGATTTTTAACCATCCAATTTTATGTCTTTTATTAGAACCAATTTAGATTTTTTCACCACTATTTTGAAAATCAATCAACAACACCACTAACCACATTCGAAGAAGCTTTCTCACTAACCACCACTTTTCGAGAAAAAATAAGATAAATTCATGTTCCAAACTCCGGTTACGATTGGCTGAAACAGCTCCGAATCAGCCAATCACGGGCCCGGACCGTGCATCGGGCACTAAGTCACCTTTCCCGAAATGATAACAAAATAAAAACAATTTTTTGCAATTATGACAAATTACATTCGCGATAATCGACCAATATTTTCATGGATTATCAAAGAATTTCGCCGAAATTGCCCCACTTTCGGCGCCAGAAATTTTGAAAAAATTCTCGACGTGACTAAATTTGCAATTATTTTTCATTGGTATCAATTTGCATTATGCAAGTATCATGACTTATAAATTGGAGTCAAATGTGCATTAATTAGCGTCAATATTCCGCTTTGGTGGTCGGATGACTTTTTATTGTGATTTTGTCATTCGTGAATTTTATCGCTGGGCCTTGGTATGCGGCACATTTTTACACTGGCGAGTGATAAATCCGTAAATCACAAGAACATTCATTCATAACTAGAGCAGCATAATTATGCAAACTAATACAGGCTGCATAAAGGTCAGCGCATCGGAAAAACCAGGAAAAATACTCGAAAATGGCGAATTCTGTCACACATTTTATTCAATTTATTAATCCGGTGACACAAATACATAGTTAATACAGAGAATTTGTGTTTGTCAAAATTTATCGAATTCTGTGGTTTCCTGAACTCTCATCAGTAAAGCGAATAAACATTATCTTTCTTCCGACAAAGTGTTCCACTTCCGTTTCAAGGAATTTTTTATTTGCCTCCAATTAATTGAATTGCGAGCTATTTTTAAAACTATTTCTATGTAAAACTATGCTTCCAGACAACACAATCTCGTCTTATTGATAATTTAATAATACAAACTTTCAAACAAAATATTATGTATTTTATTTAGTAATAATGATATAATTTTATGACAAAATAAAAACTGTTGCGCTATGTAGAAATAGTGGTGCGAATTATTATTTGCTAATCGCATTATAGTCCCTATCAGAATTAGGATAAAACGCAGCGAAAATTCTCCTCAAGATTGAAGCATATTAAACCATGAGTAATTTTTTTTTCTTAAACTGCCTATAGCTCTCGCGTTTTATTTCAAATTTATTCTTCAACAAAAAACATAAAAATTGTCCACTCAATAAAATGTGGAGTTAAACAGCGCAAGTATTTTTCGGAATTTAAAACATTATTTGTGTTTTGCAATAAAATATGACAAGTGAAATAGTACCTAATCACTTAAAAAATCAATAAAGTTGGAAGTTTTAAAAAGTAAAAATCTTTCTATGACAAAATAGATTCAAGTTGGAATTTTCTAAAAAAATTTATAACAAATTTATAACCTTTTTTGAACTGTTTTTTGAAAAAATTATGGTCTAGTAAAGCAATGAAAAGATGGAACACATGAATGTGTGAACGTAGTTTGACTCTTTTTACCAACTAAATTCAAAGAATTTAAACCAGAAGGGACAAAAATTTTTGAAACCTGTTTTATCTGTCACCTGAAACTATCTTAAATTATATTATTTTTATGTTGTTTTCTCTCTTCTTTTGTTTCAACTTAATTCTGCTTTAAATTTTTATTAATTCCTTTTTTTTACTTTAAAACCAAAGCGGATACACAAATTTTATAAGAAATAAAAATTGTTTAAAAATAATTCACATTTCGAATACAAAAAGAATTACAACACTCGGATAAATAATACCAAAATATTGGTGTTGATAGCTAATTGCTTGTACAAATTTCGTAAAAATCGATTAAAGAAAAACAAAAATAATTTTTAAAAACTTTGGCGCCCTCTAACTTTTAAACGGCGCAATTTGGCATAGGGGTAAATTGGGTCAAATCGCGTTATATTGACCCAGGGACTAAGTCCCCATCTTTTCGTTAGACACTGTATACAGGATGCGCCAGAACTCGCGCCCCACAGAAAAATTTCAAGTAAGATAGGTCACCAGGAACATGGAAAAAATGTTTAAAAAATTTTGACATTTATTTTTTGACATTTAACATTTTTTATGTCTATTTAATGATACTGATGATCTTGTATATGTTTTTTAATAATTATTTAGTAAAGCTACAAAAATTTTGCCAATAAAAGTCACAAACAGAGTTACAATTCAGGATACAGCTTTCTTGTTTCCTCTTCTAATAGCCTGTACCGAAAAAAACCAAGAACATGGAAAAAAATATTTAAAAAATTCTATCTGTAAAAAAAATTGACATTTATTTTTTGTTATTTGTCATTTTTTTATGTCTATTTAATGATACTGATGATCCTGAATATGTTTTTTTTTTATAATTATTAGTAAAGGTACAAAAATGTTAATGAAAGCCACAAATAACATTAAACAGTTACAATTTAGGATACAGCTTCCTTGTTTCCTCTTCTCATAGCCTGTAGCAAAAAAACTAGGAAAATTATTTTTCCAACAGAAATAAATAGTCAAAGTGCAAATTTTAAACTCTCATAACTTCGTAATTTTTTCAGATAGAATTTTTTTAACATTTTTTACATGTTCCTGGTATCTTACCTTACATGGCATTTTTCTCTGAGGCGCGAGTTCTGGCGCACCCTGTATTTAAAGGCAAAACTTTTTTTTTTAAACCTGACACTAATTGTTTTAATTTCAAGAATGGATAAGATAAGTTGTTATTCACTAGTTAATAAAATAAAACTAAATAAATCATTAATCTAAGTAAATGCGAAATTAGAAAAAATATTGTATACAATTTGTGTACGGTAGTATTGTGAATCTTAGTTTTTCCATTTTTTGATTAGAAATAATTTGCTTTAACCAATGAATTACAAGTCAAACATCATTTTTTTTCATTTCCGATAAATGTTCTGGTACATCAACTTTCCCTGAACTTCCTTATTGCTGTTACCAACTCAAGAATAAAACAAACATCGAAAGCTAAATTATATTTGTTCATAATTAAAAAACGTGCATTGAATTTCTCTTACAAAGCATTCAACCAAAGTAAATAAAAAGTAAACAAATACGTGAAATAATATATTTTGTGATGATTTTACGAGAGACGAACTCCACCCCCACCTGGACATTCGCCTTGGGTTTGAATCTTCAGATCTGAAAAAAAACGATTATGAAACATCAAACAAACCGCGTTTTATTTATATTCAACTATCTTCTCGGCAAAAACAAATATTTTTAAAAGTGATATAAACATTTATCTGTCGGTGTTAAAAATTAAATAATTGCGAAGCTGGAATAGGCCTTGATTACGACCAACAAACACAATTCGCGATAATTGCAGGAAAGAGTTAACACAGCCTTAAATTTCCTCCAAGCCAATGCAAAATAGACTTGATTGAATTAAATATATTTACTGTTTCCGGTTTCGCAGTTGTAGTTCGATAAGACACATTCGCTTCCGAACGATTTGTCGTTTTTGCCACTTCCATCTCCAGCACAGACCGGTTTGTAGACTTCTCCGCAGTCTTTGAGACAGGGTTTCTTCTTCAGGGCCGCTTTGGTGGAGCCCTTGGCCGGCAGGGCGTAGCTGGAGGCCACCACAGCGACTGTTTTAATTGATTTTTTTAATTTAAGTAATTTTCCAACAGTGGGACCACTTACCAAGCACAACAAAACAAACAGCGAACTTCATGGTGCAAATTACAGTTGGGGGACCTCACGACCTTTTATGTACTGCCCCCACTTCGCACCTTCATTTTGCATGCAAGATGATCTCGTTACGAATTCAATTCTTTTAATTAAATGGATGCAATGACACAATAATTAGCCAATTGTTCAAAATTTGATGAATCAAAACAAAATAATCTGTGTTGGTAACAGGATGCGACAATTTCGATGCCTGTTTCAAAATCAAAGTGAGATAAAATAGAGTGTTGATATTTTTATTTTGACCTCGAACCATTCCTTTGACATTGAATTAAAAATCGGATTGGACTTGGTACTTGAACGTCACTTGTGGAGAATAAATAAAAAAAATCAAGGGGGTTTCGTGCACTTTTTTTCCGGTTGTAGTCAATGGGATAAATTAAACAGTTTTTGGTTACAGATAAGGAAATTTGATATGACTATTGGAGAGTTCACGTAAGTCAAGAGATATTACGACTCTCTTAATAAGACATTGGTTCGAATACAACCAATTATTGCAACTCAAAAAATATACAACTGTCTAAGTTACGCTAATTTCCTCATTAATTTATTTAAAAATGTTTGTTTCGGGGACAGTTCATTCGCTTTTCAAATGCGGGAATTGGTGATCAATATTGATCAAAAATTTATTAGGTTTGGTGTTTTATAATGACTAATATGTGAAAGGTTTTGTTGACCTCACTGACCACTAACAAAATTAAACCAGAAACTAGAAACATAAAAAAATATAATTTATTCTAGACTGTTCCATTGATTAAATTTATAAGGACCCCCTGACAGTCATGTATTTAAAGTTATCTATATTTAAGTCTAGTGTTAACTGTTTTTAACAATAATACAATCAAAGTCGTTTACTTAATTTAAAATATGCTAAATTAATAGCACTGCTGAATTTTGGGTGGCCTACATTTAGGCGTAAAAATCTCATTATTATGATGAAATAGTAAAAAACGCAATATTTTAATAATTTAAACATGTTGTTTGTTTCCGACAATTACACTATTGCTGATTAGAAGTGGTTATTAATGAATGGATTAATTACAGCTCAGGCTAACGGGAAAGAAATTTAGTTAAAAAAGTTAATTTATACGAGCAATTTTCATTCATTAAATCCAAGAGCGAAAAAAATTGTAATAATTGTAATTATATATATTTTTAATTTCTTTTAATGTTGTAAACCTTCAAGCACTACACCAACAACAATGAAACAAAAAAGTTCAAGAGCATACAATTTTGGATTAGTATTGAGTATATTGTTTGTTTATAGTTTAACAAAAATCTATTCACAAAAGATAAATTTCGTAATAAGTACCGAAGTTCAATGACACAATTTCGGATCAATGTCTTAAAAAATGATAGTAAATAACGTTAGATTTACTTTCTATTCGCTTGTAATATTTATAAACTGGATTTTGCATTGACCGATAAAAAATATCTAGCAAAAATATGTAAATATTCTCTCTATTCGTACATGTCACACCATAACAATGAACCTATGATTGTTATCAATACGGTAATAAGTGAATAAACTTTACATAAGGCTTATCACAGCTTGAATTTATCAAACGTACCTATGTGTGGAAATTACAATAGACAAAAAATACATTTCCGTATTATTAAAGAAATTTATTTATATATGGCGACGTCTTGCGTGATTGTAACGCGAGGTTTACGTTCTAATTTTGTCGTAAAAGAAAACCCACGCAAATACGGAAACATCCCGTGTACTACATATATGGGGGCGCAACAGCCCGGGATATAAATATTTCATTGGCCTGACCCTGAAACTCGCTCAAAAGAAGTGCATTCGTACGATTTTAACAATAAACAGGTGAGAGATAAATTCTTTGGACCTCTAACTAAAAATAAAGACATAGTCAAATCTTTTTTACTTTGAATTTTTTAAAGTAGGAAAGTAATAGTTTTATTACAAAGTTGTGAAACGTTTTTCATACAAATATAAAATATTACATAACGAGCACGGAAAGTGATAAATAACGCACCAGCAGGAAAGTTGCGCACGAGGCGTTAGCCGAGTGCAGGCAATCCCGCGAGTGCGTTAGACACTTCCTGCAAGTTTTGTACACTATTTTTCCTTCCATAAATTTTTTTTTTCTTACAAAAAAATTTTTTTTCATAACGATTTATTTTTTATAACGGATACAAAAACACGTTGAATAACGATTTATTTTTTATAATGGATACAAAAAAAAATACGTTGAATGAAAAAATACAAAACATTCGAGTGTGAATTGTGCGTTAGATTTCTAACACACAGCGCGAAAACAAATCGCTCAGGTTTTTGACCTCGTATGATATTGCCAATTTTCGCGCATATGTAGTTTCATATATGGCCGTGGGAAAATGTATTTTAGCAGCTGTTCTTTTCTTCACTTCGCTCGTTCTCCTCAAACAACCGTACCAAAATTCAAATAAAATATTTTGGCAATAGTTAGAAAAAAAATCATAAATCAAATAAATTCATAAGCCAATAATTAAACTACCTAAACTCAAATTGAAAAAAAAAATGCGTTTATTGCCATTACTTTTTTTATTTGTAAGTGACTATGATCGTGCACACCATCTTTCTGCGCTTTTCTTCATTTTTTAAGCAAAATTATTGATGCTGCCACTTAGTTTTACACCTTATACTTGTAATCTAGTGTCCAGGTAGATTTCTGCACTTTGAAAGTCCCATTAAAAAAATGAAATACATAGTAACATCAATTCTTTAATAAGATAAAATATCTGTTAAAAAGCCTCTAAAAAGCGAAATAACAAAATTATTACCCAATATTTAACCGGTGCCATTGAGTCGCCCATGTGCATAGTTGATCACATAAAGTTTGTTTTTTTTTAATGGAAATTACCAAGTCAAAATTTTGGTGAAAAAATTGCTAGCAGCTTGTCTACATAGTCACAAATTTTGTTTGTTCTTTGTTTTTGTCCCTAGAAATTTTGTTAAAAAATTATGGTTGTGTTCAAATAGAGATGTTGTCAAAATTTTGACTTTTATGAATCTTGTGTGCCGGTTTGCCCTTTGAAAGCGCTATAATTGAATACCTGAGGACAGACATCATAACCTAAGGTTTAAAGACAGAATTCAGTGCTAATAATTTTGATAGAAGGACACCGCAAGTTAGTACACTGTTATAGACAAAAATGAAGATCTTGCTACAAAAACTTTGAAGAAAAAGGATGTATATACAGAAAAAGTTATTTAGCAAAAGATACAAGCAAGGTTTATGAAGATCGCCAATAAATTTTGTGAAATTTATTGAAATGAGCTCAAAGTTGATGCATTTTATAAATTCTTCAGTTTTAGTGTCAAAATTGTTACTTTTTCAACTCGTTCTTCAAAAACGATGCACAAGACACTAATTTAATTGCGTTCTTTCCGAGGTTCTTCCTCATTCATGTTTATTTTGTATTCTTGTCAATTTCTTGCTGAAAATTAAGAATGTTTAGCAAACCTGCATTACAAATTGCGTCTACATTTTAACGGGTCCTTTTTCTAACTTCCTGCTTGCAAACTATTCGTTTCCAAATTTCTAAAAACTGTTACCAGTACCGAATTTGTTTCTTTTTCGGTGTTTCATCTCTAAATTTTCTTAGACGATTTTTTGTGTTGACGTTTCATGACATTGTTTTCAAATTAATTCAAAAAACCGGAACTGCAACTTCTTTTATTAAAATTACCATGAATGAATTTACTAGTGGTGCCAACGTTAAGACTTTGTAATACGCTTGAAGATAAAATAGTATATATCATTCAGAATGGAAGGTTTTTTGTGCTTCGCTCGGCTTTCAATCTCCGGGCTTAGCACTAAAAGACTCATTTCTAACCAGATACTTAGATTCGCGCATTAACTTTTAACAAGAAATTACATAATTTTTATTTCAATCCTTAATTATAATAATCTACTAAGTACTGCTACGTACCGTGCGATTAAATAAAAAATAAATTAGAGTAGGCGTCGATTAAATTCTACAGTTGGCAACACATTGGCTGGGAATCTGAGCTGAAAATTTTCCACACAAACTGAAAGTAAAAATGACCATCCACCGTATTCTCTTGTGTAGCAATAAAAATTTTCTGCTCTAAAGTGAACATTATTTCACTCAAAAGGAATAAAACGCAAACTTGTCAAAGTTTTCGCTGACATTTGATGTCAAAAATCAGTATTGCCATCTGATTAATCACCGTCTACTCTAATTCATTTTTTTTATTGCACGGTATTATTATTTTAATTAAACCAAACTATATACTTCAAGAAAAAACTACTTCAACAAGCAAAAAATGTCATATAATTAATAACAAAATACTAAATTGTGTTAATTTTTTTGATTTTCAAGAAAGAATTTTAATTTTGTTTAATTTGGTATTGAGAATTGGGTGCATATTTTGTACGCTTATATTATATTATATTAATTATATAGGATGTTTTCTTACTATTGTGAGAAATTGCAACCACATCATATTCTACAACGAAAAATACATAACACTAATACAAAAGTATTCGGAAAAATGGATGAAAATAATGAATTTAATTTATGTCACTCTATAAATCCGTAACGAAAAGCTTTGTACGACTATCGTTTATTTAACAAATTAATGTTAGTTTTAATGTAGAATATGTGGTTGCAGTTCTTCGCAATATTAAGAAAACACTCTATTTTATTATTTTCACTGTTTACAAAATTGTATTTAATGTATTCTTTTATTATTGCCAAACTGTACTATTTTTTATTTTTTTAAATAATTAACTTTGACTCTTTGTGCATTGAAACCAGCAAATTTGTAATTAAAGCTTCATTATTCTAACTCAGCAGAAAGAAAAGTTCATTTTTCTCTTGAGTTTGGAATAAATAATAATCTTTCACTGCTTATTAAATCCTATCACATTGGCGGTTTTATTATTTTGAAAATAAGGTCGCTTTGACAAATGAGTTAACGCTAGTTAAATAACAAAAATGTTTGTGAAAAACATAATTTTAATAAACAGCAACTCAAAGGAACAGCTTTAAGGTATAAAAACCAAAGTCATTTTTAACAAGAACTATCATTATTTAATTTAATTTAAATTAATTGTCAAAGTGACATTAGTTGTCAAATAATTAAAACCGCCAATGTGATAAGACTTAAAAAGCAGAGAAAAATTATTCCAAAAT